GAACATCTAACACATCTCTAAAGTACCTACCATTCCAGTATTTTTTCAGGTATTATCTGCCTCAGAGAAATGTGACAAATCTTAATTAACTCTTCAAAGGCTTGCAATAATCTGCCAGCAAAAGAATCTATGCTATATATGTGCATAGTTTATAGTCATTTATACAAATATAGCCTGTCTGTTTATTTGTAATGTTGCTGTTTTAGTGGTAGTGCCTTAATGGAAGCTTTATTAGGGTTTTCTGTAACATAGCTCTTTTAAAGCAGAAAATTGTTATGCTTTTCAAGAATTATCCTACGTGCCAATTAACTTACTTTTTGAGATGAATCATTAGGTATCTAAGTGTCTCATAGTGAGCAGCAGGAAGTAACATCAACACTTCATGTATTGCTTCTAGTCGTTCATCAGGATTGGAGATTTCTGTAAAAACACCAAACAGGATTAATGTTAATAGAGCCTTTCGTTTGTAAACAGCAGTAATTCAGGAAGATGTTATTATTATGGAGTCCTTTACAAGCCATTGACTGTGCTTGAAGGGATAAACACTAAACTCCTAAGCAGGAAGCTTATCAGCAACTTCTGCAACCTCAAAAGAATGGCTGTACAAAGAAATCAGCAAAAAAGACCACCCAGTAGTCATCTCCATGGTCTGCAGCTCTAGCTACAGGTCTGTATAGGTACAGTACCTGAGCTGTATTAAGTACCTCTTCATACACTGCCTGAACTGACTTTTTAATAAAATCTCATGAACGATTACTTCTGTTAGCTGGCCAAACAAGATGGGACCATGGATAAAGCATATGCTTTAGAGACTGTTCTTGTTCACACTGGACTATGCTAAATTTTAGGTAGAGAGACTAACGTGACATGGAATTACATAAACAAAGTGAGATTGCTGAACATATTTAAGTATGTAGGTATCAGTGATCTGAGAGTATTCAGTGCTTACTCAAGACTTTTTGGCAATCTCTTTAAAAATATGAGTGAGATTTACATGTGTTTTACATGAAAAATACAGATTCCTAAGGTGTGATCTGAGTCAGAATTACATGTCTCCCAAGACTTTTCATAAAAATGACACCAGGAGCTTGAAATTTTAGAAAAGTAAGAATCTTTATGTCCTGCTTTTAAGGGATTTTTGTATTTTGTGATTTTGTATTTGTGATTTTGCTTCCCCTGAGCATGTTTTTTGTAAGACAAGTGGCAAGCAAGATTAAGTTTTCTGACTAAGGAGAAAGCTAAGAGTGCAATAGAGAGGTGCCTGTGGCTGCCAGGGCAGCGCAAGGCTGGTGGAGCTAGAAGGGGGGGGAACCCAGCATGGTGATGCAGATGTCCTGCTTATTGGTATACTGTGTGCCATTTCAAAATCATGAAGGATATTTTTTAAAAAAGAAAGTGTGCTACTTTTTAGTTACCTCAGATCTTTACTTTTTTCACTAACCAGTCAGTATTTTTATACTCTTAGGTTTATTTTTTTTTACCTGCATGAAGTTCCTTCTCCATTAACAATCAGGCAAAAGTTTCATGTAAAAGAAGCACGTGTCTGAGAAGTAACAAACAGAACAATGCCCTTCTTTCCAATTTGTTGTCTGTCTTTTCCTTCAATGTGAACAGCGTTATGGATAGGAAATGTGATTAAAGAACAGTACCAATTACTATGCAATACTTACTTGCTGCCTCTATGAATTTAGAATAGGTGTCATAGGTGATCACGGGAATCGGTAAGTCTCTGAAATATAGCTTCAGCGCTCCAGTAATAATGTTTATGTCTGGATAAATACTGGCAGAAATATCAGCCTTGTCACCATCTAGAAGAGGAAGAAGAAATCTTTTTGAAAACAGTCTAATTCTGACTGAAGCAATGCAAGGTTTCTAATTCAGATTTACCATGTCCAACCTGACAAGAAAAAAAACAACCTGAAAGCATTTGGAAGGCTTAAATGAGAATATATAGAATCATAGAATCATAGAATATCCTGAGTTGGAAGGGACCCTTAAGGATCATCAAGTCCAACTCTTGACACCGCACAGGTCTACCCAAGTTCAGACCATGTGACTAAGTGCACAGTCCAATCTCTTCTTAAATTCAGTCAGGCTCGGTGCAGTGACCACTTCCCTGGGGAGCCTGTTCCAGTGTGCAACCACTCTCTCTGTGAAGAACCCTTTCCTGATGTCCAGCCTAAACTTCCCCTGCCTCAGCTTAACTCCATTCCCGCGGGTCCTGTCGCTGGTGTTAATGGAGAAAAGGTCTCCTGCCTCTCGACACCCCCTTACGAGGAAGTTGTAGACTGCGTATATTGCTTATATTGCTACCAACTTCACAGTGGATGAATGAGAAATGGTGGTTTCCATATCGTTTACTAAATAATTTATTTGCTGACATCTTTTGGTGAGGCTGGTGGTTGCAATGACAGTATCTGCAGTGTAGCATCTCACATATGATGTTTAATGTTGGATAAAAAAGGCATGTTAATAATACATTTGTTGAATTTGGCCAATTTGTTAAATGTTGAAATTAAGCTATAATAGCTTGTCTTGCTGTTGCATTTTGTATCCACAGAACAATGCACAGGAGTATAAATCCCTATTTTTATTTGCATTTGGGGAAACAGAGGCACAGAGAAATAATATAAATTTCCCATGTCCCCAGGAGACTAGTAGCAAAAATCAGAGCAAACATCCAAATCTTTTCAGTCTTGCACCAATCTATCTATGCTGATTACCTAGTCAGAAAGCCTTCTTATTTTCTGGATGCCTTCTAATGTCTTTGTACTTGAATTATTTATTTGTAGCAAAGATTTGAATTTAAATAGACATGCTATGGCATTTAGCTACACGATTTATTCTCAAACGTGGATTGCAGTTTGTTAAATGAATATGGATAGTTGTAACGGATGAACAACTAAATAGATGAATTATGCAACTTTAATGACGTACTTCCCCCCCCTTCCCCCCCCCCCCAATACATTGTAACAGCTATCCAAAACTCCATTATGGACCTCTTTTAATCACAAGTTTAAGATTTCCGATTGCTGCTGGTCAGCAAAATGAGCAACGACTGAAAATGAGCCATGACTGAAATTACAAGAACTACCAGCATGAGTGAATCAATATTATTTTCAAGTTCAAATGACTATGTCTGTTCTGTACTATCTAGTACCTTAACACCCATGTGCTTCCCCACTCTGAGAAATTTGGGTGTCCTTCCCTTCCTGGAGGACGTGTGTCCATTCTCTTCTCTGGGCCTCTCCCTTGGTGGTCTTAAGCAGAAAGACAGGATAGGGCGGTGGTCAAGCAGGGACTGATGCTGTCTGTATTTAATCCCTAATTTCAGCTCAGGCTACTTTGAGATCAATTAAACCTTTTAGCCTTTCAAGTGAGGATAACAGCACTTCCCTCACAGGAGGCAGAGAAGATAAAGCCAGTAAAAACTTGGGACCACTGGGGCCATGCAAGGTTAGGCTTGCTTGAGCAGTGGAAGTGAGTTCGCTTGTGTCTGCCAGGAGGTGCAAGAACAAGCTCGGACTGTTTACCACCGAGGCGCTGACACACTGAAAATCCATTGCCTTGCATGTCTCACAGTAGCTGGTGCTTGTAGACATACCCTGATGTAGACAGATGAGGGGTTGTGCTTGATACACTGCTTCTAAGATGGTGATAAAGGCTTTCACAGCAGAATAAAACAGTTTATATTGATTGTAGACATTTTATACAAACCTTATGGCATTAATCTTGAAGGAATATGTCCTGTCCAATGTATGCACATAATTCTCATTAAGACTAATAGCCCTACATGTTCTCATCAAGAGGAGATTATATGCTTAAGTGTTTAAAACAAGCAGCCTTTCTTGATGCGGCTGAGCAGTCTGAATACATCCATCAGCATTTAATTTAATACAGCATCAATAACCCCTAGGAGAATGTTTACACTGCCCCAATCTTTTGTTTAATCCACACGCTTCAGGCCCGGTAGCATTAGTCCTATAAAGCTTTGTGTGGAGAGTCCTTTTTAACTGATGGACACCAAGCACTCAAAATGCTCCACTGAAAACAGATACTTTCAAGGAGATAGCAGCTGCATCTGGACAGATATAGCAAAGCAGAGGGTTGCATCTATTATCCAGGTCAGCCGGTAGACTAAATGAAAGTGTTATTTATTTAGTACTTTTGCAAAGCAGCCCAGCATGCTTCCTTAAAGGGGCACTTCAGCTAGAGGTACTTCAAACCACAACGTACTTCAAGCACACCTCTTATTTACCTGTTGCTCCAGGAAAAATGCGTTAATTCCTGAGTCAAAGATTTTTCTCTTCACTTCAAAGACAAACGTACATCCATTGGAAACGCACTGAAGATTTTTTTTTTGAGATTTTTGCTAAGCATAACAATATGTCTGTTACAATAAACCTACACTTCTGCAGTGGGTATTTAGGGGAAGATGTATTTTCCTTTCCTTTAATAGATTTTGGATTGTCTTTCTTTTTCATTTTCAGCCACTGAAGGCCCGTTGGCAGGCTTATTTCTTATATTCACCAATTTCCTGGATTTGTATTTTTATTTAAACATACTTAAAATTCAAAGCACTACAAAAAGAAAATTCATCCATTTCAGGTAAAGCCATAACACCTATTTTAAAGGAGTTCATCTACACCAACACATTGTATGAACTACATCTATTTTATATGCATTATATGCACCTTCTGCATTACCACAGTTGTCTTTTTAACTCTTCAATACAGTAAATTTCCTCAGATTGTATTTAGCACTTTCAGCATCATTGCAAAGACACTGCACATGATTGAATATATTAATACTATGTGTTTTTTTTTTTTTTTTTAATTAAATATAGGATTACAAACATCCAGTTCATTTAAGCTTAATATACCTAATCATACCCAAAACCCATCATCCCCCTTTCCTTGTTACTTTGACTCTCAACATATTCTGCAGCATGGTGTTGAAGTCTGAACATTTCAAGACTTTTTTTTTTCTGTTCTTCTAAGGTTTCAGTTGACTTTGGATGCACAGAAATACATCATTAGTTTATTAAAGAAGGAAATGGAGTGAGTATTACATTCTCAAAGTCTCATCTATGTCCTCTGAATACTGAATTACATTTCTAATTAAGTTCCTTTTTTTTTTGTATTTGGAATTTGACAGGTTTTCAGACATACTAGCAAAGGAGTGTGAATATGAGTTAGGATCCCTTTGAGTACTCATGTAATATTTAACAGCATAATATTTTTAGCAAGTGTATTGTACCAGCCAGTCATACAAACAAGTGGAAGGACAGAATGCATTTATGACAATGGCAGCTCTGTGGGTAAAGCACACAATGAGTGTTTTATTGCTGTCAGAGCGCCACAGCTCAACAATGCTCACAGAGAGCAACTGTTGTTGTACAGCACCAACATTCACAAGAATAAATCCACATTATTCCCCTCCCTCATTCTCATTATGAAAATCACTGAAATGGAACATTGTCGGTGCCTTGGAGAGCCCAACTCTCCCTTACAGCAGGGGTATTTACACCACTTTGGCTCTGCAAGGCAGCCTTTGCTTAGACAAGATAAGGACCAACTTTTCCCAGTTTTAAAAATAACTCTCACAGCTTTACAGCCAAAAATAATATTCCATGGAATGCCATTCTCTTCCTGAGACGTTAACTTTCAAGCCTGACTTTGCTCTTCTGTTCTCACTGTAATTCTTTGGAAGCAACAAGCCAGTGTTTCTTTGACAAGGCTGGAACAATCAGTCATGGGGAGGACTGACTTATGTCCATTGTGCCCCCTCAGCTGCAAATGAAATCAACAGGAGAGGTGCCCTATGGCCGAGTCAGCCCTGTGTGCCCAGTCCATACATCATCCTGTCTTCCCTACCCCATGGCTTGATGAACAAAAGTTGTGAAAACAGAGAGCTTCATGGCATTATTTGAACTATGCATCCCATGTATTCAAATAGCAAGGATTTCATTTTTTTCTTTCAAAACCACTTATTAAGAGCTGTATTTCCAGAGACTGCAAAAGCATACTAGAGCATTCAAGCTGGGTGCCCAGGGAATGTCTCAGATACGAAGGAGAGGGGGAGGTCAGTGATCACAGTGTGCCACTCTGCGAAAGCAGGTGCCATGCAGTGCCATCCTTCCCATAAATTGCTCAACTTTCCATTTTCAAGCTAGCTAAGGTGTTTAGCCCTACTTTTATTAGAAGTTTCTTTCAGAGCCTTGCTTTCGGATGGTTAGAAAGTGGCCTCTAAATTGTCAAGCTAAATTTATTCATGGCCAGTGTATAGCCCCTAGTATCGTGCCTGGATTATCAGTTACATTAAACTGCTTTCTTCTTTGGTTCATACCTCTGCTCTCAACGTCTGCTTTGACAACTAGCTATTCCACGCTCTTTTAAAACACATTTACTTTCTGCTATGCAATAAGCTCCAGGACAGGATGTCTGACATAGTGACATAGCCACAGGTACAGCTGCTCCTTTTGCAACACTTATCTATTAAGCAGAACTGATCAGGAATTTTCCATTTCCCATTTCAGACAAAAAAAATCCTTTTTTTTTTTTTTTTTTTTTTTTTTTTTGCTACATGGGTGTTAATTTCTTGTAGTGAATGTGGAAACAACAGTTTTGTAAAACTCCCACAAATTTCACTTTCTGGATAGAAAATGAATTTTGAACAAAAACCTCCCAGGCACTCCTAGATGTGGGACTATCACAGCCTGCACCTGGCTCTCAGCTCCCTTCCCTCCCAGTTCTGACACCTGCACAAGAGATTTGGGATATTCCATGCCCCTTGGATACTGCATTTCTCGCTGCTCTGGCTCTTAGGGTGACACAGGGGAAGAGGTGCAGAAGAAAGGATAGGGTCTCAGTCTCTCTAAACCTAGATCTGACAGGGAAAACAGCCCTGAGCTGTCAGGTTGCAAATCTTTTGCCAATTTAACCTTCTGTCAGCTGACAACACCTTCTAGCTGTGCAGCCCACAAGTCAGTTAAAAAATCTATTTTTGTTTTCTTTTAATCCCTTTCTGAAAACAAACAAACAAAAAACAACCCCCAAAATCATCAATAAAAATCCTTCTGCTTTCCATCTAATTTCAAAGAGAAAACATTATCAGAAGTGGAAGGGGAAGTTTTCAGCGTCTGGTCTCAGCAACACTGTAGTCATGCATTATCATAGCAAGCATTTGTGCACTGTTCCACTGCTTTTAGCATTATTCATGGCAACACGACAATTCTCTCCTTTCTTATCCCTCTTCCTTTGTGAGATTGTTAAAAGATAATGAAGACATAGTTTTTTATTAATTTATGGCCAGTAGTTTTCTCCACAGCTTGTGTATGCAAACTCAGTTCTTGCTTTCTCTGCTTCCATGTTTATCCATACTTTTTTCCTTTGGAAATCTGATACTGCCAGTGACTTTATTCTTCCTGTTTATAGATGCTGCCTTTTCCAGTAAATCACACTTTCTTCCTTGCTGCGGGTCGAAATCAAGTGCGGATTGCCACCAGATTATGACAGGAACATCAGCAACAATAACAGGATACTCCGTAAAACTGAGCTGACTCCCATGGTTAGAGCATTTACAAAGGAACTACATCAGCTGCAGTATACAAGTCATCCTCAGACAAATTTCTGTCTGCTTTCTTTAAACTCTTCCCTCCTCAACCTGTACTTCTCTGCTGGGTTTTGTTCAGGTTGGTACATGTAGAAGAGAATTAACACACAGAACAAAAGAGTTTCCAGGCTAGAACTACTTGGAGGGGCAGTGTGGGACCTAAGGGGTCTGTGACCTTCTCAGTAAAGCTGATTAATGCAGCACATCTGCAATGTTATCTTCATATGACAGCAGTCATGGCACTTTACATCTCTTTCACCCAAATCATGTCTGACCATGTATATTTTCACAACTGCAGCATCCAACACATTTTTGTATCACTTTCTTAAAGGATGTTTGGGAATAGCATGACAACAGTCACTGGAAATTCCCACTTACATAGCTGGACTTTTTGCCAGTGAAGTCTGCATGACAAACTGTCCCCAGACAAAGAAGTATTCAGGCACAGTAACTGTGGTTTGCGCCAGGCCCTGAGGTCACCCAGAGACCTTGTTGACCTTGACCAGTCTCACCTGGAGCCTTCTCCTACATCTCCTGCCTTTCTCAGGCCCTGCCTGAGCAACAACATTCCTGTCTCCAGCTGCATCATGGCCTGTGCCTGGCCATGCACCCTGATGAATCCTGGACTGACTTCCTGGCCTGTGTCTGGACCTCCCATGCCACCAGGCATGTGCCCAGTGAGGTGGACCTGGGGCGAAGCCTCTCACGGGCTGTGCAGGCACAGAAATGGCAATCACATGCGCAGTGGTTGGGGTGCTTTCTGCAAGGCTGCATGCGGAATGAGTGCTCAGTTGCAGTTCCTGGTTCTTAAACCCATAAATGTTATCATGTTATAAAGCACCGAGTATGCTAAAGATAGGATCAAGAACTTTCCCCGGCACTACCTAGGCTCATGCTTGAACTTGGAGCCCAGGCTGTTCTGCTGGGTTGAGCAATCACCCAATCCCCTGAGCACTTAGCCTTCTGCCTCCCATTACTTACTGACTATTCAGTTATTCTTTCCAACTATGAAATGTAATTTCTTCTTATGAAAAGTACAACAGATTAATATAAGAAATCAGAAAAGACAGGCTGCTTTCCGTACTTCTGCTTTTATAAGTCTCATTACCATGATACCCATATAAGTACAAAAGAACTGAAGAGTCCTAGATTTGAAAGTTTAGATAAAAATTGTACAGAATTTTAAAATGTACCTCGATCAAAGGCCATTTTCACATCTTCAATGTGCTCAGTGAAGCCTGAGACTCTATAGAGGCCCTCAGATTTCAATCCTGAAACAAGAAGTTCTTGGTTAACTTTGCTTCAATAACTAACAGGTTAAAAAGCAACAGGCTCATAAGCAACAAAGCAAGAACAATGATATGTTGGATAAATGCAGCAAACTATTGTTATAACATGAAACTCTGAAGCATTTAAGGAATATTCAAGGTAATTTTAAATTGTTTTTACAGGATTAAAGATGAGTTTATATTTTCTGATTTTGTTGCACTCAGAAAATAACAGTAGATACACAGTAGATAATATTGGAAGAAAATATTGCCATTTGTTAATGGTGAAGTATGTGCTATTATAATGATTTACATATTTTATGTGGGTGATGTTCCTGGATTTGTCTCTAATTAATAAAGCCTTAGAGGTTGTCTTTGCTATTACTGGTTGCTTAATGATAAATAACAATGTAAATAAGAGACTGCCTTTCCCTATGAGCACATTTGTTCCCGATGTTGCTGTCAGCCTTTACTTAGCTATACATGTAGCTCATACAGGTGATGGATGCTGTTCTCCATGTTGGTACATCCCTTCTGCGGTTCTTTCAGCGCAAGAGACCTGCTTTATGCTCTCCCACCCTTACTCTAAGCCAACATAAAACAAAGAGCAGCCCAGCAGAGCAGGCACAGCTAACCACACAGAGTTACACTGATGTTATTTATTTTAATCCCAGAGCTTCTTCTTGTGACTGTGCAAAGTGCTAACCTACCTACGAGACCCGGTGTGCATTGTCTACTTAAGAATAAAATCAGTGTCTTAGTAGAAAAATTAAGTCCTACAGCAATTAGAGAGAGAAATTTAAATATGTTGAAAAAACAGAGAGTGGGCAGCAGATTTTCTCTTAATCAATAAATGTACAAGTAAGTGATTATATCTCAAATGCAATGTAGCTGACTGCTGTATCATCTCAGTAAAGCTCTTCTGTCTTAGTCCAAGCTATTCTTTGTGTTTGTCCCTGCAATGATGATATAATCCTGGTAGAGCTTTACAGAGCAGTGCAGGGGATTTACTTGTAAATCTTTGATTCATTTCAGGAGATGATGCGTGGCTTTGAAATCCCTTTGGCTACTATCAATGTGTTGCCATGCAGATTACTGCGATGCCATGAACTCAACATTATGAGATTTCTGTGCTAAACCTATGACTAACAAGGAAATTTGGCTTATTGGTCAGCACAATGCACACATTTGTTATCCAAAGCAAAAATATGTGATCATTACTGTCTGGCAGATGTGTTGGAGTAGAGATGGTACTTCTTCAATCTGGCATACCTCTCCATGTAGCAAAAGCCTGTCACAAACTGGAGTTCTGGCTGTGGCAGGCTATCTGAGCTGCGGCATCCCTCAGTCAGTAGGTGAGTGTCATACAAACGTTCCTACCCTGGGCAGTTTGCAAAACACCACAAAACGCCACAGTCTGTGACCTTGTTTGTCTGAGTCATTTCCAGCTACTTATGTGCTCTTGCCCACAATGTCCTCAAAGGTTATTAATAATGGGCCTGATTTAAACTGATTACTCTGAAATTAGAAGTGTCTGTAGGTATGTTAAAAGAAAATAATGAAAAAAGACACTTAAACATGAACTTAAAGTTCATTTTAAAGTTCACCCCTTTCAAAAGTGTAACATAATACCTGTTTTGACATGTTTTCAGAAAGCATTTCAGTAAATTGCATTATGAAATGTCATGATTTAATTTTACTAGCCGATGCAAAGCAATGTTATCACCTATGCTAAAAAAATCCTTCTCTCATCCTGTCCACAGTGTACACAAACATAATATTCTGTTCTATCTCAACATGTAATTCAAGTCATCTTCATTTTATCCTGCCTCCTACATCCTGAAGCATACAAACCTCTTGCTTCAATCTCTCGGATGCATGAATCCACCACCATTGGCCTCTGGGTATTATGGGCTTTCACCAGCGTGGTCAGATCACAGCAGTAGACTCGCTTTATCCTCTTGAGGTCGGGCTGGCAGTCGTTGGGCACATACTTGGAGCACTGCTTATGGACGTTCAGCCCACAGTCTGGAAACAAAGTTGGCCAGGATCATTACTTAATGATAATGCTGGGACATTTTGTCTATCAATTATGTTTCTTAGCACAAGTGAGGGGCATAACTTTCCCATCAGCTGGCAATAGAAAATATCAGATGTTTCCATGCCACCCTCTGCTGACTTTGCTGGCCTCTTGATGTACAACAGTGACAGGACTTGGTGCTGCAGAATTACCAAAGACAAGAAGGCTGAGTACAGAAATACCCTGTAAAAATCTTTTGGTGGGCAAACTGAACTCCAGCAGGGTTGCTAAATAAAGCCGTAAAAGCTCCGAGTGTTCCTCACACCCTGACCTGTTAGGGACAGCCCCTGCCAAGTCTGGGTCAGGTCGCTGCTGGACACTCGGCTCTAGGTGTTGCAGTTGAAAGTGTGGGACTTTAACTTCTTTGTGTTTCAGTTGTGCCTTTTATAAAATTAGCACATTAATGACAGTATCCTGCTGGCCAGCTTGTGGCTTAGCTACAGACTTAAGGCACAGCACTAAAACTCTGCAGCTCTGTGGGTGAGTGTGCCTCACCTCCTATTCTGAATCCCTGCAGCTCTGCATTTTGGCTCGTTCTGCCCATCAGTTACAGCCAAACCACCATAGTCTTGTCACTTTGCTGGTGACTAAAGTGACCCCTCTGTTTAGTCTGTGCAACAGTTTGAGCATATAAAATGCTGTGAAAGGCATGGTGTAAACGAGAGTGATTCATATTGTTCTTGGTGTCTTATTCCAGAGTCAACAACTGGTTGCACTGGCGGGTTTCCATTAACTTAAGCATCTCTGCTTGATTTCCACAAATTGAATTTTCCAAATAGGTACAAATGTTCAGCCAAATGAATTTATAAGACTCAATAAAGCAAACACCACCACCATGAGTTACATTACCTCACAGAAATGTGGTTCCTGTTTCAATGCTTTTGTAGTCATGCCTATCACCGAGTACCTTTTGGACTAACTCAAAATGCCTGGTATCATCACTAGCGAGTTGATTACTGGTTTTTCTTGTTGATTTACTGCCCAAGCTATTCAAAATGTAAACGTGTTCCTACTACTTGCAACACATTTTAGTATTATTCTCAATAAATTATTAATCAGTCAAAATCAGATCATCACTGTAAACATACCTACACGTTTAATGTAACTGAATTTTTGTGTCTTTCTTCATACAGTTGTTACTGCTTATAATACATTATTGTGCAAAATCCAAACAAATGTGAGCAGCTGCACTCAGGACCCTCCTTGTACTGTTCTCAGTGCTGTTCTCCAGGCATGTCAAGTTAAGTCCAAACACATCTGTCTACTTAGAGTTAAATGCTGATAATTTAATGAGGGAGAGTATTATGTTTCATACTGGATAAATAACCCTTTTCATAAGTTTAATATTTTATGCATGTGAACAAACGGCTCTATGTGTTAGTGATGGTCAGTTTTTGGACACTTGTGTTTATGATCAAACAGCATGAAAAGCAAACTGCTATTCATTTTCCTTCCTTTTTAAATGCCCATTCATATTCTTTCTGTTACTATCATTCATCTACAGGCAGAAAAGATATAGCAGGCACTGAAGATGCACTTATTAAAACTTAGCATTTCTGAAAGGTATTTTGACCCTTCAAGCCACTTTGTAAATTTTGTGTAACAACCACTTCCTCCAGCCTTGAAAGGCAAAGGTCAAGGCAAGTGTGTTTGGTGCCAGTTTGAGTTCAGGAACACCCAGG